GAGAAATATGGAGAAAGGCTAAGAACAATTGTTGGAGGGGACAGTCTCCCTGTGTCGCGCTGGGTGGGGAGGGAGTGGGGAGACCCAGCCAGGTGAGCCTTTGGGTGGGGCTGGCCCTATTCCACCAGAGGCCTATGGCAGAGACTGTCCACTCTGTATATACCAGAAGGCTGGTTTATACCCAGAGAGGCAAGAAGCCAATAGCTCACAGGCGAGCTCCATTCTTGCACTGGGAAGGGCTCAGAAACATGAGTTGTAAAGGAAGAAATCAGAGGGCGAACGAAGCCTTGGCACAAAATATCAGTACCAGTCCCTCCCCCAAATCATGCAAGCTGTTTCCTTACCCTCATGGCCTTGAGCAAAGCCTGTGGGTCTGCATCTGACATATCTGAAACCTAAGTTCATGGGAGGGCAAGGACACAGACAAGGATGGTCATTAGCCAAAGCCCCACAAAACCCAGGTCTCCGTCCCCAAGCTCCTGTTAGGCAGACTGCTGGCAGGAGGAGGAGGCTGTGTCTCCCACATGTGGACTTAGCTGTTGTCTGAGGTCAAACCTGCCCAGAAAGCTCTGCCACTTTCTCTTCCTCTTTCATCCCAGGACTGAGATCCTACTTCTTCAAGTCCATGTGACTGGCCAGCTAGGGAGTTTATCATGGGAAAGGGGCAACACCCAAGGGTTCAGCAGTTGCTGGGCACTCTCTTTCCTAGCTCTTTTTTTTTTGTTTGTTTTTGAGACAGAGTCTCACTTTGTTGCCCTGGGTAGAGTGCTGTGGTGTCACAGCTCACAACAACCTCAAACTTTTGGGCTCAAGAGATTCTCTTGCTTCAGCTTCCTGAATAGCTGGGACTATAGGCGCCTACCACAACGCCCAGCTATTTTTAGAGTCTCACTCTGACTTAGGCTGGTCTCGAACCTGTGAGCTCAGGCAATCTACCCACCTTGGCCTCCCAGAATGCTGGGATTATAGGCGTGAGCCACAGTGCCTGGCCTCCTAGCTCATCTTGAT